AACTGAGCTGTCTGTTAAAGATGATGAAGTAGATTGTCCCGAAGCCTGCCTACTCTTTTGCTACACACTCCAAAGTATATACTTTTTTTACCAAAAGCGATCACATGATTCTTTTCATTGGTTCAATGGAGGACGAAGGCTCAACCCACTTAAGAGACCAATGTTTTGCTGACCTGTAAAGTTGGTAGGGAAAGCAAAAACTTGTATGATTATTTTTTCTGCATCCATTGCAAATGGGTTAGTTATTCTAACTAAGGTTGTTTCGCCAAGTTTATAGTGTAAATGCAGATAAAATACAGTATATCACCTTTAAAGTTACACTGTGTAACTCTTTTCGTTTATTCTGAGCTAAAACACTTAATATATATAAAATATAAAATATATGTGCTCATTAATGTATATTTACTTCCTTCAAGTAAGAAAGTATTCTCGTGACTGTATAATATGCCATTGAAAACATTGAGAGTCGCCAAGGAAGCGAAAAAGAGAATTAAGACGGCAAATCAACAAGACAAAAGTAAATATTGGAGTGGCCAATCCAAGATGGAAAGAGCTCATGACGAGCAACGATTTTAAGAAGGAAGCCGACGTTGCCTGCTTTCTTCTCGACAGGAAACGTTAATTAAGCCTATTTGTGTATATTGGAAGTTTTATTGTTGCTTGGCCTATCATGGTGTGCTGTGCATAACGCTAGAACGACATCTAGGATTCCTCGCGTCAATGATGAAAAGTATTGTTTACCTTGTAACATAAATCTGTGTTCTATGACGGATATCATGTGATTCATGTGTAATATTTTAATGGCGCTATAATTTGTAGCGCAATAAGTGATATGTAGGCACTTTAAATTTTAGTTATTTTTTCATTTATTTTACTTTATTCACAATTAATGTAGCCTAATGTGATAATGCAGTTGTAATGCTGAGTTCCAGGCAACCTGTAACCTGTGTTTTTACAACATGTAACTGGGAGTACATCGATATAGTACGAGTTCACGGATGGGACAGTCAAGGGTTTGACTCCCGTTCCAGTGCACTTTCACGGGTAGCCTATAAGGTTGGAAAAACACAGGTTACAGGTTGCCTGGAACGCAGCATTAGATAGCTTTTTCTAAGCGAGACTTTCACCTTCACTTTCACATCTGTCCTGTAATCTTATTAATTAAGACGAATTATTGTATGATGTAAATATTTTTCACACTATGACACCTTACTATGACTAGCCTACACTTCACTATATTGGCCACCGTAGGAGTTAAAACGAAATCAGAATTGAGAGGATCAGAAACTAATATTCACTGCATGATCATATAACTTTTCACTGCTAGATGGGGGTAAAAATCCCACAGTGTAGCTTTAAAAGATGTAAGCTGGTCACCATTGGACACATTGAAATTGGAAGTAGTGTAAATGAGGCCAAAGATGATCAAACTAGTTGCCGAGTGTGGTCTTTCTGGTAAAGCTGGTTGACCAAGATGGTCTTGCTTAGCAATTAGATGAACATGAAATTGTGCACACAAATAATGGTTTATCCACCTTATTCCTGACGACCTTACTGTGTTTTGAATTATGGGTGGCACTTCCGGTTTGGGGAACTTCCATTCAAAAAGGCTGAAATGATTCATTTCAAATCATAAGGTTGCCCTACAAAAAAAGCTGATCTGTCAGTTTGACTGGATGAGCTGTCAATTCTCCTTAATTTATTTTCAGACATCATGAGAATAACACTATACTTGGTATTTTAACGTGACATGTTATGATAAGAATATCTATGACAAGAGCTCTCCAGTCGCTGCTTTCTTTTCCTCATGATGATTTTAAATTTTTTTCACTTTGCAATCCCTTGTAAAAGTATGAAAAAGGACAACATATACGGCACAATTGTGGTCTGTTAATTTAACAGTCTCCGGTCTCCATAATTTAATTTACAATATTCCATTAATAATTCACTGGAATTTACAAAGAATCTCTCGTTATTCTCCTCAAATCCTTACGTCTCTTTCCAGGTTTGTTTTCACGGGTAAATGCAATTCATAATCTGTCAAAATGATGAAAATCACTTTGATATAGTGTCTCGTAATGCTGAACTTAATGAACGTTATTGATTAAGGCGTGTTACACAATACAGATATTTGCCTAATACTGTGATATTTAACCAAATACTTGCGCATTTGGGGCTTTTTGGTCTGTTGAAAGTACCTTTTTGATTCTTTTACACTTTTAATTTTCATTTTAATGTTCGATGGTTGAAGGTTGAGTCGATTAATGTCATCTCATGACACTTTTTTTAGCGTATTGCGTTCATAGAGCGAGCCTTCACTGATTGTTTACTACTTAACGGAAGTTACACTCATAATTCGCGCAAAGCGTCATGGGGCGTAGCAATAAGGTGCAAATGGACTGATCTGCACATATGTGCTTAACCTGAGTGTATTGACCTTGTGCACCTTGTGTTGTGGACCTAGTCTTTTGTTTTGTTTAGTTCCTTTTGCCCCCTTAATTGTTTCCAGGTGTCTTGTTAGTCCCATTACATCTACTGTATATGAGCCCTATTCCGCATCCAAAATCACATACTATATAGTAGGTCCTCCATTAAGTTTGAAACTTGCATTAACACTAGAACGGCCACAACGGTCATTTTGACCGTTTTGAATTGTATATCTACAATAACTTTGTTGAAAAAAATAATAAAATCCTGCTGGTACCTGACTTTTCCTAAAATTGTCTGTATTTTCATTTAAAATGATTTTAGTATGAATTAAGTTACGTAAACGTAAGGCAAAACAAAACAAATGAACATATTTACCTATTTCGGCCATAGACGGTCATATTGACCGCACTGAATTTCGCAATATTTTTTTTGTCAAATATCCCGCGGTTGATCGTGGTCTCTCTCTCAACTGTCAACAGTCCGTCCGGTCACCTCTGTAGCGGTGTTTGCTTTATAATAATTTCTACATTAGTTGTTGACCAGAAATAAGCAAACAAAACCAGACTACAGTTATCAATACTTACGTTATAGGCTATATATCATCAGAGAGTGATTCAGAGTCAGAGTTCACATCAAGGAAAAAGAGACGGCTGCTATCATCAAACACGGCGGATCCAGATGTTCAATTCATATCGGATGATCCTGGGGAGCTCTGCTGCCCTGTCCTGCGCTGTTTGTTTTGCTGCATGGGCTGTTCACTAGTTCTGCTAGTCCTATTATTATTATTAGCCTATTGACCGCTTCTCATTTTCGTCATAGTTTGTCATTCAAACCTAGTTTTTATTTAGTTATCGTCTCGTTTCCGTCTTTGAAAGAATGTGGTTGACGAAAATAATTACGAAAATTATTCGTCAAAGAAATAAACACTGTTTTGAATCTAACGGTCAAAATGACCATTTGTGGCCATTCTAGTAGTTTTGGAATTCTGGCACTTCTACACTCTAAAAAATGCTGGGTTGTTTTAACCCAATTTTGGGTCAAATATGGACAAACCCGAAATGTTGGGTTAAAAATGTAATGTAAAAATTTAACCCAACGGCTGGGTTAGTCCATATTTGACCCAAAGTTGGGTTAAAACAACCCAGCATTTTTTAGAGTGTAGTGTTAAGACTCTTAAAAAAGTAGGCTATATTCTATATGAATGTGTAGTATGAATGTGTGTAGTACGAATGAAATTCAGATGAACCATGTTCACAACGTTCATTGACATGTGTGATCTATGGTGTCAGTTGTCAGCCTTTAACAAATCTTCTCCTGTGTCCTCATGGGATAGTAAAGTTTCCATCGAATGCACATTTCAAAATCTCACTGAAAAGTATTAGGTCATCAGGCGACTTTTCACCTACTGTTTTTCCAGTATTTATTCGGACACTATTCTGTTGGCATACTGTTTTTTGCATCGCCTACTTCGAATTCGAATCAAATTCGATTTCGGTCGCAGATCTCATGTTTCCACTCCTCAATGTTGGGTCTTGTCTTCACATCATTGGATGTCCATGCTGTGTTTTACACTGGTTGCTTTCTCATTGCTAAAAAAAAAAAAAACAAAAAAAAAAAAACATTTAACCACATGTGATGTGCACTCTGATTATGCTACAGAGTAAAGTCCCCCAATTTGTGGTTTGAGAAAAGAAGCAGACCGCCATGATCTATAAAAATAAAAATCAAGAAATGCATCAACCAGAGTTAAAAGTAAAGCAAAGTGCAATTTGTCAAAGATAAATTATGCAATCAAAACACCTGTTTCAAATACACAAGACATCCTCTAATATAACTCTAATAGTTTATAAATACTTATACAACATTAGTAAACATGTATTAACTAACATAAACTAAAAATGAGCAATACATTTGTTATATTTATGAATCTATGTTAATGTTAGTTAATAAAAAATACAGCTGTTAATTGTTCATGATAGCTTACAGTGCATTAAATGCAACCTTTGATTTTATTATTATATTAGAAAGTCAATTTAAATTGCTGAACTATTATTAAATGCTGAACTATTGTTCATTCTTAGTTCACGTTTACTAAGGTTGTTAACTAATGAACCTTATTGTAAAGTGTTACCAATATTGTTTTCGTGTTGTATCTGAATCGTACACATTTACAGCATCAGTTTACCTGACATTTTGTTATACCTTCAAGCAATTAAACGTAATGTGACCATACTGTCCTCCTGACTAATAAAAACCTTAACCAGTAGTCTGGTTCGTTTTCTGCCTGTGGTGGCATGAGAGTGGAGCTGTTTTAGTGGGTGGTGTTCCATGTGCCCTAGTTCAGAGCTTAAATTTCTTGAGGGTCACATCACAGGTGACTACCAAGCTGGAATATGAAGTCGCATATGTTGGGTTTCAGTGCAGTTCTGCTGCTGTTGCTTCTGGTCTCGTCCTCAGTGAAAGGTGGGTTTCACACATTCTTAGAAAAATTCAGAAAGTCGTTTGTGTTGCTACTGAATTCATTACTGCTAATGAATATGCTAATGGGATTTGTATTTTGTAATGTCTTTCGTTTAGTGGTAGTTTACATTTAAAATGAATGTCCTGCTTTTGTCTCCAATAGATCCTGTTATTCGTTCGAGCTGTCTAACTACTACAAATACTAGAATTCCTATGAAAAATCTAGTTGGCTACAACATCCAGAACAAACCCTTGTTCCGTGTAATTGCTGTGAGGTGAGAATCCATTTAGATTTATAAAGAATTATTTTGTATTATTAACACTCAAGAAATAATGAAAGCTTGATTTTATGTGACTGGAAATATTGTCATAATAGCTGTTCTGTTCCATTGTGTAGATTTCTTACAATCAAAGGGATCACAATCTGCTCGGATCCCTCCTCACAATGGGCCATAAAAGCAATGAAGTACCTGGACGCAAAGAAGAAACATCAGTCAGCAATAAAGTACAGCTCGTCAATCTGTGACAGCGGCTCCTGAGAAAATGCCAATAAATACAAAATCATCTCAGTTTGAAATAAAATAATTTACTAATATATGACCTTGTCTGTAATAGAAGAACTGAGACTACAAAGTTCAAGAATATATTGTGCACAATTGTGAATTAATAATTATAATGAAGACTTTTTGGATTGATTACTGTATTCTAAAGATATTTAAAAACTTTTATCAAACGTTTTATTCTAAAGAATAATGTGTAAATTTGCTTATTTACAGCTCTACAACTCGAGTATGCTCTACTTCAGAGAAGCAGGTTTACAATTACACACAGAAGTTAACAGAGATATGGAACACAACACCCGCGAATACAGGAAACAAGACAGAATGGCATATCCCAGTAACCAAACTGGAGCAGGATTGGAGAGGATCTAATGAAACCACAGAGACATTTCAGACGGTTGGGCTATCACAGGAGGAAGAGGGATCAACCATTATGAACAACTCATTACAATTGCAGAAGAAAAATGAGCAGGTTAAATACTCAGACTCTTACTTTTGTTTGAAAGAGGAGCAGGTTAAATACTCAGACTCTTACTTTTGTTTGAGAGAGGAGCAGGTTAAATACTCAGGCTCTAAATTTTGTTTGAAAAAGGAGTAGGTTAACTCTGGTTACTCAGGCTCTCAGTTTTGTATATATATCTTTGTGAGGATTTCTGAGCAGCATTTAGAGAGAAATTAATTACCTACATAATTACATAGTCAGAAGATATTGGCTTTCGATTCGAATTTGTTCGTTTTAAATTGGACATTTAAAGATTTAA